CCCACCTAGGCCTATTTCCTGTCATCCTCAGTAGGAGGCCTACACTAAAGTGAGCCATTGTAAACAGTCCACTCTCTCATTCTTGCCTCAGACCTGACTGGATCAACAGCTCACGCCTTGCCCTTTTCTCAACCTTACTGTGTCTGCTTGGAGTAACTCATTCTGCCTAATAAACCACATCTAGCCTACGTGAATTTATATATCCTGTCTTACTCCAACTCATCCTCTACCACATCACAATGAAGGTCAGCATGGACAAGGTGGACTCTCCAGCAAGTTACTATCTACAGAACACTACCATTACAGAGACTAGTGTACCAGTGTGAGGTTAGTGTACTAGTATGAGGTTGGTATACTAGTGTGAGGTTAGTGTGTCAGTGTGAGGTTAGTGTACCAATGTGAGGTTAGTGTACTAGTGTAAGGTTAGTGCACCACTGTGAAGTTAGTGTACCAGTGTGAGGCTGGTGTACTTGTGCGAGGTTAGTGTGCTAGTAAGAGGTTAGTGTACCAATGTAAGGTTAGTGTACAAGTGTGAGGTTAGTGTATTAGTAGGAAGTTAGTGTACCTGAGTGAGGTTGGTGTACTAGTGTGAGGTTAGTGAAGCAGTGTGAGGTTGGTGTACTAGTGTGAGGTTAGTGTATTAGTATGAGGTTAGTGTACCAGTGTGAGGTTAATGTACCAGAGTGAGCTTAGTGTGCCAGTGTGAGCTTAGTGTACCAGTGTGAGGTTGGTGCACTAGTGTGAGGTTAGTGTGCCAGTGTGAGGTTAGTGTACTAGTGTGAAGTTACTGTGCCAGTGTGAGGTTAGTGTACTAGTGTGAGGTTAGTGTGGCAGTGAGGTTGGCATACCAGTGTGAGACTGGTGTACTATTGTGATGTAAGTGTACAATTGTGAGGTTAGTGTACCAGTGTGAGGTTAGTGTACCAGTGTGAGGCTGGTGTACTATTGTGAGGTTAGTGTACTAGTGTGAGGTTAGTGTACTAGTGTGAGGTTGGTGTACTAGTGTGAGGTTAGTGTACAAGTGAGAGGTTAGTGTACCAGTGTGAGGTTGGTGTACTAGTGTGAGATTAGTGTGCCAGTGTGAGGTTAGTGTACTAGTATGAGGTTAGTGTACTAGTATGAGGTTAGTGTACTAATGTGAGGTTAGTGTGCTAGTGTGAGGTTAGTGTACCAGTGTGAGGTCAGTGTACTAGTGTGAGGTTAGTGTACTAGTGTGAGGTTAGTGTACTAATGTGAGGTTAGTGTACTAATGTGAGGTTAGTGTACTAGTATGAGGTTAGTGTACTAATGTGAGGTTAGTGTACTAGTATGAGGTTAGTGTACTAGTGTGAGATAAGATAAGCTAAGATTACTAGTGTGAGATAAGATAAGCTAAGATTTTCTTCGGATTTTAACCCTGGAGGGTTAGCCACCCAGGATAACCCTAGAAAGTCAGTGTGTCATCAACGACTGTCTAACTTACTTCCATTGTGGTCCTCAATCTTGTCCCCCAGGATGCGACCCACACCAGTCCACTAACACCCAGGATGCGACCCACACCAGTCCACTAACACCCAGGATGCGACCCACACCAGTCCACTCCACATGAACACCACAGGTATGCGACCTAACCACCGACTAACAAACCTGGATGCGCCCACACAGTCACTTTACCACCAGGTACATGGACACGAGTGTACTACTAAACAGGTGAGTAATGCACAGTTAAGAACACAGTTGAAATGTTCACCCTGCCGGGAATCATCAACTGGGAGGCCATCTAGGTGTGTGAATCGAGAGCTTTAGCCACCAGGCTACTAGTGTGAGGTCAGTGCATTAGTTTGAGATTAGTGTACTAGCGTGAGGTCAGTGTGCCAGTTTGAGGTTAGTGTACTAGTGTGAGGTCAATGTACCAGTGTGAGGTTAGTGTACCAGTGTGAGGTCAGTGTACTAGTGTGAGGTTAGTGTTAGTACTAATGAGGTCGGTGTACCAGTGTGAGGCAGTGTACCAGTGTGAGGTCAGTGTACTAGTGTGAGGTCAGTGCACCAGTGTGAGGCCAGTGTACCAGTGTGAGGTCAGTGTACCAGTGTGAGGTCAGTGCACCAGTGTGAGGTCAGTGTACCAGTGTGAGGTCAGTGTACCAGTGTGAGGTCAGTGTACCAGTATGAGGTCAGTGTACTAGTGTGAGGTTAGTGTACTAGTGTGAGGTTAATGTACTAGTGTGAGGTCAGTGTATTAGATTGAGGTTAGTGTACTAATGTGAGGTCAGTGTACCAGTGTGAGGTTCAGTGTACAGTGAGAGGTCATGTACATGGTAGTGAGGTAGGTCAGTGTATTAGTGTGAGGTTGGTATACTAGTGAGAGGTTAGTGTACCAATGTAAGGTTAGTGTACCAGTGTGAGTTAGTGTATTGTGAGTTATTACAGAGTGAGGTTGTGTATACAGTGTGAGGTTAGTGTACCAGAGTGAAGGTTAGTGTACCAGTGTGAGGTTAGTGTACAGTTGAGGTTTGGATACTAG